CTTAAGACTCTTCTCCCAAAAACTCTTCCCAAATGATCGGTAAACAAGCAGGTGTTCGAACACTCAGACAATTACAAAAGATCTTATGAAGGAAATTACAAAAATATATTCTGTTTCTAATAAATCAAAATATGATATACATTTTTCTCTTTCAGAAACAACACACCGCCATCCATAAAAGACTCAGTCATATTACCAAAAGATTCTCAAGACTTGTTACCAAAAAAAGACTCATACTATTTCAGAATTATTCACTATTATTTTGTATTGATTATGAGAGAGCTCAAGTGATACTGAACTTCTCTGAGAGTTTTGAGAGTTCGGTTTTGATTTTATTTCATATTAATAGTCGAACTTTCAATTTTTGTTCTTATGAGCTAAAAAGATAAACATCATACTTTTTATCTTTTCTTTACAGGCATTTGGAATAAGTGTGTGTATAAATGTAGAGGGATCAACAATAGGTTTTAAATAAAGTCCATGAGTTAGCCTAGGGAAATAGAGTGTAGGAATAGTTAGATTACAAGCGAGTTATAAGTGAGTAAATATGTACCACACTACGTGTAAACAACCATTTTTAAGTGAAAGAGTTGTGAGGAAAGCAGGAGGCATAGTGAAGAACAAATTTATTTAATTTGCTGCCGCTTTACATTTTGTGTTCTACATTATTGTGCACTCGTTCGATCTCCCGTATACTTCGGGTGAGATCAGCTAGTAATCTTCTTTCACGATCTTTCTTTAGAAATAGAGGCCTTTCCCAGCTAGTGATCAAAACTTTTGTCGAGGTAGTTTGTTTGCGCCAAAAGACCTGATTAATCTCATATTGGCAATTTTCATGCACAACACCTTATTTTGCACAGTGCTTCACCCTTCGTGGATGCGCCAGTTCATTTCAACATCTATCCTCATATTTTTCTTCGCACTTTGTCAGTGTTATTGTTGTCTTCTGATTCAAAATCCGAGTGCCTTTGTCTATGCATATCACAAGTGTCTAATGCTTGATCTAATTAATAAAAGTATAATGATACAAAAGGTAAAAAAATGACAACCAGGCGAGAAATGAGGAGGAATAAAAGAAAGGAAATACGCAACTTCATTTTGCAAGAAATGGAGATTAATGGACCTAATATGGGTCTTAATGGAGGAACTAAGAAAAGAAAGTGGAAAAAAATTCAATCAAAGGAGAGAAAAATAACACCAACTAATCACCTCCTTTGGTGTTTTAAAAATAGAACTTGCAAAAATGATTTAGTGTATCTGATGATTTAGTGTTTTCTTTCCTCATAATGAAGATGATTAGAAATTTTTTAACCCGCTCTACTAAAAAAAGATAATAAAAGAAAAGCTGATTTATAGGCAAGGAAACACAGATACCTAGAAAATCAGGCCATTGCCAAACAAGAAACGGTACCTCAAGTATTTCAAAAACAGACCAGAAAGCAAAAATATGATTCAAACAAGTGACACAGCAGAAGAAAGAAAAATACTCATATTTCAAAAACAGACAGTAGAGGCCCAATACCCTATGAGGAGCAGCAGTAGCAGTCCTGTTGAGACCAGCTTCCATCATTCCACACCCAAATCTCGAAATAAGGCTTCTTCTCTTTAGCAGAAATACCACTCTTCTTGTCCATCATAAAATCGTAAAGAACAACACCCAGCAACCCGTTAAACTCAATGAGAACAATGTCGAACGAGTACTCGGGAAGAGGGATAAGAGCAGGAAGCTCCTCATTTGCAAAGTCAAAGAAATAATAGCACGATAACCACTCGAATCTCTAGCTAACCAGCAATAGAAGCCATTTACGTGAGGCGAAGGACATGAAAAGGGTTGCAAAGTGCTTCTTGAGGACATCGAGGGTAATCAATTGTTTTACCACGACCAAGTGGGAGAAACTCGGTATCCATGACAGTAGTTTGTCTCTGTTAGTCTTCCCCCTTCTTGAGAGCTCTACTTCTGCCGAATCCAAATTCTCCAAATGCGGCTCTGCTTCCACTCATCCTTCATCAACACACACAGACACACCAGCAATCTACTTTCAAATACCAAATGCTTGTCGAATTTGTCGGGTTGTGTTCCTGGCGCCGCCTCTTGCTGTCATCCCTATGCTCAAGCACAATAGAGGACGATTTGGCAGTGTTACTTTTGTCGAGTTTGGTGGTCCCTCACAACTATTGTATACTATTTTTGTGGGAAGGTTTTTGCTGAAAATAAGCCTTTCAATTTTGAGGTTTGGGTATGGAAACCCTAGTTGGTCTTGGGTGTCCACATGATTTCCGTGCCATTGGTGATGATCGTAGGGTAGTGGGTTTCTACATGAATGACAAAGTGCTTCTTGAGGACACCGAGGGATATCTATCACTTTACCACGACCAAGTGGGAGAAACTACAGTAGTTTCTCTGATAGATATCCCTCGGTGTCCTCACTTTGTCATTCATGTAGAAACCCACTACCCTACGATCATCACCAATGGCACGGAAATCATAAGTGGACACCCAAGACCAACTACTAAGGTCATTCCATACCCAAACCTCAAACCTCAAAATTGAAAGGCTTATTTTCAGCAAAAACATTCCCACAAAAATAGTACACAATAGTTGTGAGGGACCACCAAACTCGACAAAAGTAACACTGCCAAATCGTCCTCTATTGTCCTTGAGCATAGGGATGACAGCATCATGAAACTTTTCATTAGCAAAGGAGGGACTACACGGCAACATCCGCTTTTTCATACCAAAATAATGGTTCTTCACATACATCTAACCACCTTATAGTCCCCGCCTGCACAACGACCACATAAGCCAAAATCTCCGTCGGGAAGCCAAACTAAAAGAAGGGGTCTGAGCTCGTAGGTTGTAGAGTTCAACAAAAGATCCTCGTGTGTTCCACATATCACTTTCACGGGATCTATGTTGAACTCTACGCAGGTCCCTCCATCCTTTTAGTTTGACTTTCCCACGATTAACGGAGATTTGGGCATATGGGGTCGGTTGTGCAGGCGGGACTATAATGTGGTTTAGATGTCGTGTAAAGAACCACTATTTCGGAGATAAAAAAAGTGTATGTTGACCTGTTGTCCCTCAAAAGTGGTTCGTTTTCATACCGCACCATAACCACCGCTCAGGGATCAATTTTATAACAT